TTTTTTTTTTTTTCAAGTTATCATTATTTTCAACCGGAGGTTATGCAGAAAACACGGGTAAGTGTTTTAATACAATTTACTGTAGTAGGCACTTCCTGTCAACGCAACAGCATTCAGGAAATTGTTTGCGCATCTGGACAGGTAAAATTTCTGTTATCTTTTATAATCTTCAGCCCTTTCATTCTCAGACTATGGTTTTTTAAAATTACGGGGAAGTTTTGTGATAGCAAAACGGTCAAAAAGCGAAAAGAATCAAATTTTACTTTGGAAATTTGTAGGCTGGTAAAGAACTTTTGTATCAGAAGTGATTACGAATTTGTCCGAAAGATGACATGTTTTTACTGATAGAAGTGGTGAATATATAGCGTTAGGTTAGTAGTCCATTATTTCTTGTAATTTGAAATTTTGGGAATAAATGTTTGTAAGGTTATTGGCGTGCATTAATGAAGAATTTATATGTGACCGAGTTGAAATTTGTTACTGTGACAACGTTACTGATCAAAAAAGTTTTGAAAAATTTATTAGGCTACTGTTGGTGAGTGATTAGAACATTTACCATTTGTCCGCTCAGTTTAATGAGGTGTGCAGCGGCTATGGTTTTGCGAGTAACTCTCTTTAATAAGGAGTGAGATAAGGGTTCGTTTTGTTAAGGTTCTTCATTTGAATTGTCGTTAGTTTTCTGTTAGCTACTCTCCCAAGTGGCCTCTGAGTGGAGGTGCTCATTCTACCGTTTTTTAATTGTACAACTTCCCAGTTTTTAAAATTACTGGTCAGGAACTAGAAATGAAATGAATCCGATAGATTTTCATTTTTTTGGAAACTGGGTCATCTTTTTCAAATAACGACATTGCTTGAAAAATGATATTATTCTAAAACTTTTGATTTCTATCAAGGGGAGTATTTGTCCATTGTAATAATTGTTAGATTTGTAACAACTCACTTGTATAGTTTGGTATTAACCACCAGCAGTTGGAAATGGAAGCGATGAACACTTCCGCCTTTAATACTCTGATGATACAATAACTCGGAAGCAGTCAGAACCTTCATAAGTGATATTCTTGTTGTAACTTTTTACCATACTGAATTCATCTCGCTCCGCAGCTGATTCCTCACACGCGACCGACTAGTGAAATGAAGGCAATTTGGTCCTTTCGATGAAGGAACTGTAGTGCACATTAATAAAGGTGGAGTTGGATGGTATTCAAGAATAATTTACTGCGTTGTAAGTAGAAGCACTTGAACGACCGTAATTACTTGTAACGGATAAGAAGAACTATAACCCGTTCGCCAAAGACGTTTACGGGCGAAATTTCTAAATTTTTAACCAAGTATCTGTTGGAACTCTGCATAAGAAACTGTTTTCAGGGATATTATGAATGTCTACACAAAGTTTAGTAATTTTACTGTATCTTTCGAGTTTTATACAAGTGGCAGCCCAACTATAACCTGTTTGAGCTGTAAGTTGCAGTAGCACACCAGCTGGAGATGACAGCATAAGAATAGTACTTTTAAGCTATTAGGCAATACTCTTCATTTACTTCATTATACGGTA